GTGTGTTCATATTGACTTTATATTTAGCATGAATATTACTAAAATATAAAGTGGCTTAACCTTAGTAGGATTCACCATGCAGATGTGTTAATTTGCCAGTTTATTAGTGCACACTTATCTTTTGCCTTTTAGCCATTATTGGTTCTTTATTTTTGTTAGTTAGGCCTACTAGGCAAACATCATATATCAAAATTAATTATTCATAAGCAAATTCTTCACCTTGTAAATGCATGTAAATTAATTAACTTTTTTTTTTATTGGATGTAATTTACTAAGATATCTTGTATCCTTTATCATGTCAAATCACATATTTTATATAATTATTCTATGTAGTTTTCGATGCCTGCTAGTACATAATATATTGAATTTGAATTAAGTTTAAGTGCATTTCTTTCATTTCTTTCACTCCATTTGCTTATATTGTTCTCTTTTTGACTTGTCTTGTTCAGATGTTGTATTGAGGCATTTACGTATTTAAAAAAATCGTTTGATTGTAAAAAGTTTGATTGTACTCATAAATATTTTAATTTAGTGCTACAAGTGCTCTTAAACACCAATCTTAGAGTAAAGTCCAGTTACTCTGTCGCTTCTGTTATTTATATTAATTTCTTCTCTCCTCTGTCTCAGACTGATGAAATCACTTTCCAGTGACTGCGCAGCAAAGCTTCAGGGCAGTTGTAGCTCATGTGGCTCAGTCCAGCTTTCTGTCATGGAAGAGGAGCCAGCTGACCACTGCGAGTATAGTTATGATGTGGCAGAGCTGACATGTGATATGGTGTTGACATCTGTTAGTGACAGCTTCTCCAAAAAAAAGCTGCTTTCTGAGAAAGTGCCTTTACGCTACAATAGATGGAAGCTGACTGCAAATGAAGGACAGAGATAGAGAGAGAGAGGACTTTTGCAGTACAACAAATGGAAGCTGACTGCAAAGCAAGGGCAGTGAAAGAGAACAAGTACAGGGCATCACCCTTCATTTCGCTTAACGCAGATGCATTTTAGTGTTGATGCTTATCTTCTCTGGGCCTGTAATGGCATTATCACAGACAATTGCACACTCAACACCCGCACTGCAACATACATGTCTGGAGCACAACAGGGGGCAGTTATTTATTTATTTTATTTGAAAAAGGAGGATATTATGCGAAATTACAAGTTTGAATAAAATTTTCTAAACCTGTGCCTTTCAGGTTTCAGACTGTTGGAGTTTTTAATAGCATGGACAAAGTAACCATGTAACTGATGGTAATTTATTATTATTTTTTGCTATTTATTGTTTTAATTCAGTGCTCCCTTTTTACAAGGTAATCATTGTGTTTGTTTTTGGCAAAGACAACTTTAAGACCAAGTAAAAGACTCGGGCAACTAGTAGAGGAGGCAGTTGACTGAGCAAATGGGCAAATGTTAAGGGGTAATCCTATCCAATGCTCTTTCTAGCTGTATGTTTTATAGTTTCTGATCTCTCTTAAAAAACTGAGATGATGTTTACGTGCTGTATTATATTGTCTTGATGTATACAGTACATATGTAAATTTTATGATTAAATTCAGCATGAAATGGTAATTTAGCTATTTTTTGAGCTCTTATCAAGATACCATAACTCGATCTTTATTTGAAATGACAGACTTATGTGAAGTTACATTTAATTTGTTTAAACCTTGCCCTTTCTTACAATCAACTGCAAGCTTGCATTCAGATCTGCCTCCATCCAATTAACAAGATTAATAGATCCAAGATCCTGCCCTAATTTTTTTTTTTAACAATAAGTTTCACTTAGATTTTAAAATACAGAAGAAAGACCTGACAGTACTTTCGCTTCATCGCGACTTTAAAGGTACAATAACAATAACAGCCTATTTAATTCTAAGAGTGGAAAAACCGGATGCAAAATGGTCATTTGAAACTATATTATGGCTGTATTTGTTGCAAGATGAAAAGGTTTTTAAAGGTGACCTCTTTAGGTACAACTGCCTTACAGAGTGCAGTATACATAATAAAAGAGAATTAAAAAAAAATGTTGGCCCCAAAAATTGGTATAACACAGTTCAAAGATCTGTAATTGCATTTGCTAAATGAACAGGCTGTTGCACGCAGTTTTTTTTTTCAACGGAGTTGCCTTATTTGTTAAAATCCCCAAACTGTGCACTTTAATATTAAATGAAGAAATTACATAAAAAATGTAATGACTTTGGTAATCTAAAATGCTTTTAGGATGTAACTATAATTTAATTACCACCTATTTAAAATTTAATTATTATGAAATACAGTTACTCATATTTTGTATTTTAAATACATAACACCGTTACATGTATTTCGTTACTCCCCAGGCCTGGGTATTTGTGAATCTTAAGTATATTCATCATCTGCTTTACGTACCTGTCACTGGCAGTAATTTTACAAACTTGTAACTTACATGCTTAGAGCAGAACCATGCATTGTTCATTTATATTTCTACATGGCTCCCTGCGATACAACTCTGATTATTCATCTAGTGGTCTGTTGCTGATACAACCACAACTGCTACAACTGATAACGGAAAATTAGAATCAAACAGTAATTCTTTTTTTGTTGAAGGTGGTGAATTTGATGCAAAAGTGGTGCTTTGATGGCTAGAGCAGTGGTGCTTTAAAGGGGATGGATCCCCTGATAGATGGGGATGCACTGACAGTCCAGCAGTTACTGTTGCTAAACCCTGAAGCACAGCACACTGTCAGCATGCTAAACCCCTCTCTGAGAAGCTGCATCCCTTCCACAAAAGAAAAAAAAGTATTTCTTAAAACTTAAAAACAGACTAGTCCACCATTCTGGCCTGTTAATGTTGCAATATTTATTCTCAAAACAACCAACCAGAAATGCAACTTGTATAATGAATCTTGCATCAGAATCTAACTGTTCAAAGTGACCCTGAGATGTGCTGAAACATGACTAGTAAAGAGGCAGAGGTCCCATCTAATTTGCATTGTTTTAGCTGCCTCAGTAACTATTTAATTTCTCCTTATAGTCCTTAGTGTGATTGCTCAGATCTGAAATCCTCTTCACTGGATTGACATACACTAGCTTTAAAAAGTTTGGGATCAACTTTTTAAAGATTATTATTTCTTTCTTTCATTTGTTGTTGTTGTTGTTTTTGAAAGTCTCTTATGCTCACCAAGGCTGCATTTATCTATCAAAATACAGTAAAAACAATAATGTTGTGCAATGTTATTAAAATAATTAAAAAAATAATATTTTTTTAAATGAAAACTATTCCTCTAATGGCAAAGCTGAATTTTCAGCAGCCATTACTCTGTCTTCAGTGTCACATGATCCTTCAGAAATCACTCAAATATGCTGATTATTATCAACATTTGAGTGTAAAACTGAGGATACGAAATGGAACACTTCCAAACGAGAACTGTCATGTTTGTTTGGGCTTCTTTGTGGCCATCTTCCAGTGCAAAATTCAAAATACAATGTCAGCATAATTTTATCTGTTTATCCCACCACACTGGGGCTCATCCCAATCTTATACAGAAAAAAATTAATGTTTCAAAATGAGCTGAGCCTTCTTGAACTGATGTTTACATAAAATGCATGCCATCATTTTACCTTTGAGCCGCAATAATAATCCCTGTGTAGTTACCAGGCACTTTCAGGTTTATTTGATATTTATCTGGTAAAAGTGTTCAGATATGGTCCCTAGCACCATTGTTAGGAGGCACACAGTACAGGAGCAATCCAGATTACAGGGTTGTTTGAGAGAATACTCAAGTGGAGGAGCAAACAATCTGGGTTGTTTATTAGGGTTCTCAACATATTGCATCTTGCTTCTAATCCTATTTGTATGATTTTTTTTCCTTTGAAGTTTGTAGGGTAGAGATAGAAAAGAAATGCTTCCAGTGCAAAATTCAAAATACAATGTCAGCATAATTTTATCTGTTTATCCCACCACACTGGGGCTCATCCCAATCTTATACAGAAAAAAATTAATGTTTCAAAATGAGCTGAGCCTTCTTGAACTGATGTTTACATAAAATGCATGCTATCATTTTACCTTTGAGCCGCAATAATAATCCCTGTGTAGTTACCAGGCACTTTCAGGTTTATTTGATATTTATCTGGTAAAAGTGTTCAGATATGGTCCCTAGCACCATTGTTAGGAGGCACACAGTACAGGAGCAATCCAGATTACAGGGTTGTTTGAGAGAATGCTCAAGTGGAAACAATCTGGGTTGTTTATTAGGGTTCTCAACATATTGCATCTTGCTTCTAATCCTATTTGTATGATTTTTTTCCTTTGAAGTTTGTAGGGTAGAGATAGAAAAGAAACAGGTAGAAGATAAAACCGATGAACAATGGAAGCCTTTACTGATGCAACAAATCTGCAAAAAGTGGCTTTAGGCTCACAGCAGGGAAGTCAGACATTTTGAAAATCAAGGAACATTAAATTGCGTCTCTACAGTTTTAATGATCATAGATTTGAGAGTTTGAAAGGTTAAGGTTGGGACCATCTCATCTGCAGATATTTGTCTTAAATGAAGCCTCAGGGGTAACAAGCGTTTCTGGCTCTTGTGCTTTAAGGCTAATGCAACTTCAGCTAGCTATTTGCATCTTGCTAACGATCTGTGGCACAGACAACAAGGAAGGACCTCGTGGGAGAGGGAGAGAGAAAAAAGTTTTTTTATCAGTAATGCACTCAAGAACTTGGAGCAGAGAGAAATGAAACTGGAGTTATGTAGGGCAGCTCATGAAGAGAAAAGCAACCCGAAGCTATTACATTTTTCACTGGTCGTAGAGATTTTTTTAAAATAACAGTGCATAAGATATTTTTAAACTTCATTCTCAGAATTCACAGAGCTCTTGTACCCTTTCATCTTTCTGACACCCAGTGTATATTCTTTCGGTCAGTTGCCATTAAGGAACCTGACTGAAGTGACCAAACACCGGAAGTCAATACTTAATGGGCATTGACATGAAGTGAATTCAGATGAAGATGTTCATGATTTGTGTTTCTCGCTATACAGGGCTGAAAATCTGTGAAGTGACGATCAATGTTACCAGGCAGCAGGTGGAGGATTTCCATGGTCCAGAAGACTACTGGTGCCTGTGTGTGGCCTGGAGTCACCTAGGAACCTCGAAGAGCCGTAAGGCCACAGTGAGGATAGCCTGTGAGTAATGCATGAAACATGACCTACAATTGAAGTACATGATCTAAACACAGGTGGACTGCTGTGAGATAGTGCCAGAAATCTCTTTGATGTATTTCCTTTTTTTATTTTCTTAAACGATGCACTAAATGCTTTCAATCTGAAAGCATATTAAAAAGTTTGAATTAATAATATTATTGCCAAAAAAAAAAACATAATTAAATTTTTTAGTCTGTTGACAGATTGATTTATTTTTGATTAGCATTTGCTATAATTATAATTTATCATTAATTATCATTGTCAAATTATTATTAAGTTTTATTATTTTATCACTAGCATTTGTTATCAAATTACAACTTTTTATTCCACTTTAATACAGGGAAATTAGTTTTTATCCTATCTGAAGCTGGACCATTTTTGGACATTTTTGTATTTCTTTCTTTCTTTCTACAAATTGAAAGAATTTTCAGTGCACAGAAATAAATAAATAATTTTATTTTACAAGTACAATGGGGATGAGGCAGTCAGAACTGTATTAATGAACTGAACCAATGACATCTGCAACTCTAGCAGATGGCCAGAGCACCATTGAGAATGCCTGCACTCTCCTGCTCTCTTGCCCTGCCTTTCCAAGCTTGCCAACACAAAGGGCATGGGGCGTAGAGAGAGCAGGATGCTGAGTGATGAAAGCAATTGGCATAAATAGGCCAAATATTGGATCGAACTCTGACCGCTGTGACAGCTGCCTCTTATCTTTTTAAACAGACCTCCGCAAGAACTTCGAGCAGGATCCTCAAGGGAAGGAAGTGCCAATCAAGAGCATGATTGTGCTGCATTGCCGTCCCCCAGAGGGCGTGCCCATGGCAGAGGTAAGATCCTCTCAGGTCTCTGACATCATTCCCACAGGGAGTCTGGGATGGACAGTGCATGCTCTCTTCTGACTGGAAAATAGCATCAGTGCTGTTTTAAACATCTATACTAATTCTGTGCTTAAAGGTAAAGTTCAACCACAAATAAAAATTCATCAACATTTACTCAGCCTCATGTTGTTACAAACCTGTATCACTTTTTTCTTCTTCTGTGGAACACACACTCAGAAAAAAGAAAAAAATGAAAGAGCTGTTTTCGTCCATATAATCAAAGTCAATGGTGTCCAAAACATTGGGAGCATTATGATTTTCATTGTATGGACACGCACACAAAAAAGAAAAAAGAAAACTGAGACACTTTTTCAAAAATATCTGCTTTTGTGTTCCACGTAAAAAAGAAATGTTGAACTGTTTTGGTCCATGTAATGAAAGTCAGTGTGGTCCAAAAAAATGAGACCATATTGACTTTCATTGTATGGACAAAAAACAAAATTGATATATTTTTCAAAATATCTCCTTTTGTGTTCCACATAGACATGAAAGTCATACAAATATTTTTGAACTTTTTTTGGTCCATATAATAAAAGTCAGTGGGGTCCAAAACAACATGGAACCATACTGACTTTCAATGTATGGACCCAAGAAAACAAAAACTAAAAAAACACAAAAACAAGAATTTCCCAAAATATCTCGTTACACAAAAGAAGATAAGAAAAAAAGACATACAGATTTGGAATGGCGTGAGGGTGAGTGAATGATGGCTGGATTTCATTTTTGAGTGAACTATCCCTTTAAACAGAACTGCAACTGACTGTTCACTGACAAATTTGATAGATTGATTATACACATTCGTGTGCAGTCAAGGGCCATGTAAGGGACAAAAATGACAAGTCCACATATCATGGATTACGAGCAGGCAATATATCAGTGTACATGTGTGTGATTATAGAAGGGTTTGATTCTTGGCAGCCACCAATGCTTTATGAATGATTCAGTGATGAAATGGAAGAGCTCTTGTCAGCATCTGTCTCTTCAAGAGCACAGTGGACAGAAACACAGGAAATCTGGAAAGTACTGGAAGACAAGAATCAAGAATCTCCCTTCAAGTACTTTGTCAACATAAATGAAGTCAGCTATAAGAGGGGCTAGTGAATAATGTAGAGTGCAGACCAGCAATTGGCGATCAGGTCCATTCCAGCACACCTCTGCCATGAAAAATTTAAATCCAAGCTGTGAGGAGGAGAGTGCAAAGATTTATACAGCATCATTTTACCAGCATGCTGGATGCTGACTCTCTCTCACTTGCTTACTCTCTGTCTGTCCTAGTACAATGTGTTTGTGGTTTTAGATGTTCATAAACACCCCCTCTGAGAAATGCTCTGTAAGATTTCTGTGGTCACAAAGCTAATGAGTCTTTTCTAATGTTTCTAGCTAATGAGTCTTTCTCGCCAAGCGCCAAATGCGAGTAAAAATCGGCTTTGACAAGTATATGAAACTGTCAGTCGCCAGATGGCTGGTAAAATTGTTATAAATTCTAACAGTGCAATGTTGTGAGAACAAATGTGAACGACACTCTGTACAGTTGATGGGTCAGTGCTGCTTCATCACAAAAGTCTAAGCCTTTGCAATGTAAATATTCAAGAGCTAGAGCACGCGAAAGGACATACGTTACTCGCGCTGTGTGGGAAGTTTAAACATCCAAAGCCCCAGCCTGAAAGCCATGTCTTGAGCTCTGCTTCCTTCCTACGCTTGAATGGACAAATTCCATTCCATTTCATTATAATCAGTTATATTGTCTACATATGCAGGATGCGACGCAACACGACACGGCAAATCCGCGAAAGTAAACGGATTCCCCATTCTATTTCTGAAATATTCCAAGCACTTTGCAACGGCCGCTTTGTCACATCCAGTGTTGACAACTTCAAGCTGCCGCCGTGTAGACATGGTGTTAAAGTAAAGACACAGAATCCCAATAATCCTGCTGTTGTCTGCGTTTTTAATGTTGATCAAAGAAAAAAGGACAAAGGAATAAACCAATCACTCACTGTTCTTGAACTTTAAAAAAGATATAAAGACTATAGTGTTATTTGATTAACATAATTTATAAAATTTCTGTAGGCTACCTGAAAATCACTGTTAGACCTGCCTGAAATGCACCATTTCCATTTGTTTCCATTTGTTTATTTGTTGTATAGTAGGCTATTTTGTGCTATTGCTTGTAATTTGATTTGCTCATATTTTACAACTGACTATTTACTAGTATGTAAAAATGTAGCCTATTAAATTTATTTTGGTTAAGCTAGTAGCTTTAGCAGGTATCGAAACTGGAATCAAGGAGTGTGATTTTTTTGCTATTATCTAAAATTTCGGTGTCATAACTTAAACATAAAAATATTTCTGGATGGTAAATTTCCTTAAGTCACCGGCCATTGGCAGGTCTGGCAAAAAGGCCCATGTTGCTAGTTATTTCGTCTAGTTCATGTGTACTTATTGGTACACAGAGCAGTTGAGATAAATCAGGCAGGTTATTTGTGAATCTGTCTTTGGTGGCTGGAACAATAGTTCTGCCCGGACGATAACGCGGAGCCATATAGTTAATATTAGTAATACGCAGCATGCACGATACAAGGAAATGGTCAGTAACATCATCGCTTTGAGGTACGATATCTATATCAGTAAGATCAATTCCATGCGATATAATTAAATCTAGCGTATGATTAAAACGATGAGTGGGCCCGGTGACATTTTGCTTTACTCCAAAAGAGTTTATTAGGTCAGTAAACGCAAGTCCTAATGCATCATTTGTATTATCAACGTGAATATTAAAATCTCCGACAATTAGCGCTTTATCAACAGTAATCAATAGGTCTGAGAGGAAATCTGCAAATTCTTTTAGGAAATCTGTATACGGCCCTGGTGGTCTATACACAGTAGCCAGAGCAAGAGATACGATAGATTTCTTTTGCATATCTGACAGTGTAACATTAAGCATTAGTATTTCGAATGAGTTAAACCTGTATCCTGTCTTCTGAGTAACATTGAGAATATCACTATATATTGTTGCAACACCGCCGCCACGGCCAGTCTGACGGGGCTCATGCTTATAATAGTAGCTTGGTGGAGTAGACTCATTTAGACCAATATAATCATTTGGTTTTAGCCAGGTTTCAGTCAAGCAGAGTACATCAAAACGATTATCTGTGATCATTTCATTTACAATAACTGCTTTGGGTGAGAGTGATCTAATGTTTAGGAGCCCAAACTTTAAAAATGTTTTTTGTTCATTTATTTTAAATTGTTCTGGTTTAATCACGATCAGATTTTTTCTAGATCCTGCATTAAATTTATATTTTGACCTCACTATTCGGGGAACAGACACAGTCTTTATAGATTGGACAGCACAAGTACTTCTATCATTTAAGCGGGTAGAACACAAGTCATCAGGGCAGTTATTTGAGATTTGACTTACTAGTCACATGGAGCGCAGCGTCCTGGAGATGTTGTCCGACATGAGCTCCGCCCCGACTCTGCTGGGATGCAGACCATCAGCCCGAAACAGCCTATATAGTCCACAAAAGAAGATAATACTTGACTTTATAAAAAATGACTATGATTTTGAGTTCCATCTTTTCACACTGAGGACAGCTGAGGGACTCATACGTGTACACACACACACACATATATCTGTCAATATGGGGTGCTGTGTGTACATTAATGAGGAAAAAAAATTAACTTAAATGATTTTAGCAAATGGCTGCAATATAACAAAGAGTGAAAAATTTAAGGGGGTCTGAATACTTTCCGTACCCACTGTATATATCAGTGGCGAGCGGTGACTTTTTTTAACCGGGTATGCTGAGTGATAAGACCACCATATCTTCAACATACACTGAACAAAATTATAAACGCAACACTTTTGTTTTTGCCCCCATTTTTCATGAGCTGAACTTCATGAGATCTAAGACTTTTTTTCTGTACACAAAAGGTCTATTTCTCTCAAATATCTGTCTAAATCTGTGTTAATGAGCACTTCTCGTTTGCCGAGATAATCCATCCACCTCACAGGTGTGGCATATCAACATTGTGTTCCAGTTCCTGCCAATATCCAGCAACTTCGCACAGCCATTGAAGAGGAGTGGACCAACATTCCACAGGCCACAATCAACAACCTGATCAACTCTATGCGAAGGAGATGTGTTGCACTGCGTGAGGTAAATGGTGGTCACGACAGATACTGACTGGTTTTCGGACCCCCCAATACAGTAAAACTGCACATTTTAGAGTGGCCTTTAATTGTGGCCAGCCTAAGGCACACCTGTGTAATAATCATGCTGTCTAATCAGCATCTTGATATGCCACACCTGTGAGGTGGATGGATTATCTCGGCTAACACAATTTAGACAGATTTGTGAACAATATTTGAGAGAAATAGGCCTTTTGTGTACATAGAAAAAGTCTTAGATCTTTGAGTTCAGCAAAAGTGTTGCGTTTATAATTTTGTTCAGTGTGCGTTGTCTATGACCAAAAATGTGAGAAGATATGTTTTCAGTGGACTTTTAAAATTTGCTTTGCTTGAGAAAACAAAAATATACAGTTACAGTGTTTTTTTCTTTTGATTTAGTCGAGTTGGTTTTACAACACAATGTGATTTTCGGCAATGGGAAATCTGACAGCAACAGCACATTTTTCCTGTGCTTTGCGGACAGTTTACCTCACACATTAAATCTGCCGCAGGCCAGCAAATCACTGAGAGCGCACTACATTCCTGACGAGTCATAGCAACAGAGCAGAGGCGAGAAAGCTGCAAAGAATCCGCTCACCCGGAAGCAACGGCAACTGGTAAATTTAAAGAAATAAAAATCCTACAATGTGATTTTTATGGATTTTTTTTTCTCATTTTGTCTCTCATAGTTGAGGTATACCTATGATGAAAATTACAGGCCTCTCTCATCTTTTTAAGTGGGAGAACTTGCACAATTGGTGGCTGACTAAATACT